CAAGTAGTTTCCATCAATTTAATGTTATTCTCTTTTGTATCTTGTGACAACCCCCCCCCCCCTCCCTCCCAACCTCTCACATTACCAATAAACCATCTATGATTACTGTAATTAATCCTCTATTGTAATTTAAACTACCTAGAATGCCTATGGCGATTGGTAGTAGATATTTTGTGTATTTTTTGATTATGAAGGAAATAAATAATATGTTAAAAAAAACTTCAGGTAGATTCGCATGTTGAGTATTTTTCATCTTATTTCCATGGTCACATATTGCAATAACATAAATATTAAGACATCACGGGAGAACACATTATTCGAAATCAAACTGTAAGTAAATGACATTTTCAAAAGAGATATTCATTTTTTGAGGTAAAAATGCAGGACTAACCTGAATAGGTTTTAATAATGCTTTTCAAATGAGGGTTTCCTAGCATTTGGAGAGACGTACTGTAGCATAGCATTGCAACATCAGAAACAACGTACCAACCACAGGTACGCATGTGGTCACGCGCCATCGGATATGCTACTATCATCGTCCCAGGATCCATGCATACTTGCGGAAGATAATAACACGCCAGATTGGTCATATATGACTACTTAGTAAAAGCCACACCCGCAGAATGTTGTTTTTTAACTTGTTTCTACAGTTTTGAGGGTTGTGGTAAACAAACGAGGACTGATCGATACGTTTCGTTCAAATGCTTAATTTTGCTCTCCAACATGAATAAATCTACTTGTAGAGTTTTTCTGAAATAATGGGGATTCTGTATATATCCTCGTGATGATATGATACATGATGACATGCAGCTTTAAAGCCAATTACTTCACCCATGGTAAACCAATACAGAATACACCCTTGTTGAAATCCTTATTTTCTAAAAAGAACTCAAGTTTTCGCCAAATGTCTTCTTCAACAAGGGTTGGTCCAAAAATCTACACATTCCGGTATTTTATAGAGGATGTTGAGAAGTTTTTTTCTGAAAGAGGTGGCCGATTACATGGTATCACTCCAAATTTTCAGAAAATCGATTAAGAAATAATTATTAAATCGAATGGTGTAGCATTCTTGGAACAACCCTCGTAACTTCGTATAGAACGATTGCAATAGACGAGATCTTTTCTCGATGCGTTACTTTCTCTATCAGCTTTCTTAGTTATCCTCGAATTCGTAATCCTTCGGACTCATAGATAAGTTATTTGTATTGATGTCAGTGTTTCCAAAGGTATACGTGAGATGTGCAAATATTAAATTTAGAGGCTACTGAATCTCGTAGAAAAGAAAAATAAGTAATTTTTATTTTTCAAATTCCAATATATAAGTTTGAGCTACTTTGATAAATAAGAGTTAAGAAGCAAAGTTAAATCTACTTATCGAACGACATCGTATGTCAACGTTGTATGCTAACTCATTTAAGAGATTCCAAGGGTATTACATTTTTATTCGTTTTTGTGGAGATGTTGAGGATAAAATACCAATGAGACAGAATAATTGATGAAATAACATTATCACAAGGGATTTAATGAGAACGGACCGACATGAAACATAGTCGAGGTGACCTTGACCCTATGTAACAAAATGCCTTGAAGAAAAAGAAGAAATTACCCAGAATTCAAAGCTGAACCTTTCTTCACGTAAGGATGAAGCTCCACTGGCGGATGGGGTGGGGGGGGCTGGGCCCCTCTGGTGGGCCCAGAAAAAAAATTGTGACCAAAAAAATGTTGGGCCAAAAAAGCCCTTAAGGCCCCAAAAAGTGGGCCTTTTTGGTCATTACTGGGCCTTTTGAGGCCTTATGTTTTAATTTCAGGCCAAATTTGCAAGAAAATGGGCCTCAACATTTCAAAATTCGGGCCCACTTTTGGGTTTTAGGGGCCCAAAATACGTTTTTGTCTGATCTGAAATTTGGCCCCCCCCCCTTGTTGCTTCCCAGATTCGCCCCTGAGCTCGGTGTATATTTTTCATATACGAATTCTGGGTTATCCTCCCCTCCTGCGTCAAATTTATTTGCGTAATAAAGAGCTATTTTAGTCGAACTTAATTTTAAGTAAAATAGATTTATGTCCCCAAATGAAACGATTAGTTTTCATCTAACGGCATGATGAAAATAGACAAGAGACATACTGATTCCCTGGAGTCTATTTGGTTTTACAAAATATCCAAAGGAGAGGGATACTAATACTTATTTAAATATTTATTTGAGTGAACTGGACATGTTTTCATCAATCGAGTCAAACTTAGTAAGTCCCTTACTTAAGCTTTACAGATGACAAATTAGGTATTTACTTACAATTGGTGTTTTGAGAATACATCCCCTTTAAAAGTTTGACCACAACCCCAGGGGGTTCACTGTATATAAACCTTGACGGGGATCCTCGGCGCACATGGGGTACCTTTTTGACATTCTGAATGGCAATGGACCCTTTTAGGATTTTGGTATGGGAATATATTGATATCGGAGGGTTCAGCCGAGGACCCCCGCCGAATTTTTTACACAGTGAACCCCTCCCCGGGACCACGACATCTTGTCTATGTGTTAAAGGCCGCTTATATTTCAAAGATTTCCCCATTTTTCACGGGTGTTCGACCTACTTCATTGAAAGCAAACATCCGAAGACACACGTCAAAGCTTTAAATTTGGTACCGTATGCATCATATTCATCACAGCAATATCACTTGGGATCGACTCGAAACGTCCTCGTTTCATTATGGCAAAACTACCGGTAGAAGAAAATGTCCCATGTGTAGTACGTGGGTTCCAGTTTTTAAAATATGATCACATATCAGAAATAGATAAAGAACGTATATCGATATTATTTAAAATCAGTTCCCTCGCTTAGGAAACGAAGACAGTCATTTCTGTGATTAGCATGATTATATAATACATACATACGGTACCATATTCACATTAACGAATACGGTGTATTTGCTTAATAAGTGAAGTACAAAAGTACAAAAATGTAGGTTGATATGCTCTTTAAAACACTGAGATAGTCTTGGTCATTTATGTCTCTTTTTTCATTTTGATATGACTTGTCAAATCCCAAGGTAGCGTGATAATAGCGGTCAGTAACAATTTGATATTAAAGTCAGACCACAGAGGGATTATACCCATAATCCTCTGCTACTATAAAAATGGTCATGAGATTTGTCATACGCAGTCGAAATCCTAAATAAGGATTGCCCTCAATTTGATTAATTTGGTAATTTTCAAAACAGCTGGATCTTAATAATCACTGTTTTACATCAATGACTCTGGGGACTGACTCATGCAGTAGTTATAAGATTAATTGTTTCGATTTCATTTCTCCAAAAATCTCAAATTTATCTGTCCCACATCATTTCAGATGTGTGAATATTAGTATCTACAACTATTTATGATGTTATGAGTATTGGTAATTAAATCAAAATTCATTTTTCAACATGTACTCTATTAACTCTAGTAATAATAAACAAAATATCCCTTGGTGCTGTGGTCTTGGATTGTGATATGATACTTAAATGATGACGGGGGGTGTGTGCTAGATGTCTTTTCACGATAGATCATGGTTTGGCGTAATTGAAGTTTGTTCTCCTTATAACTGGTGTAGTCTTTGATGTTTTCTTGTTCTTGCTGTTTTCTGTGACAATATTTTGTTCTTTCCTTTGGCAGTTGTGCATATATTCATAAGGGGGGGGGGGTATTAATGAGAAGACTTTGGAGGAATGTATTGCAATTTTTGGTATTTTCCCTATTAACACCTTTGCTTACATATTAATAGGGGGGGGGGGTATTAATGAGAAGACTTTGGAGAATTGTATAGCAATATTGTTGATATTTTTCCTTTAACACTTGTGCTTACATACTAATAGGGGGTTATGAGTGAAAAAACTTTTGAGGAATGTCATAGCAATTTTAGAGAAAACATTAGGTGAATATATAGCTACCCGAATGTCTCCCGGAGGACCTATCTTAATCATGAATTCGAGTTGGGTAATACCAAATCTTTTGTAGGTGATTTCTTATATCTAATTAGTATCCAACATCAGTGATGAAGAACAAATAATTTGGAAGGCAATCAAAAACTCTACTCTAAATAATAAAATTACTGGTTTATTGGTATTCTCATTGCGTGTCCTCTACCTATTTACATAGCATGTAAAATACCCCAACCTCTGTTGCAAGGGTTAAAGGATATGTGGCTATAACGAAACATTATAAAACTTAAGCTCAAATTCTTCAACAGACACATCATTCATTTATTTTAGGTAGATCACATTTATAAATCAACATCTATATAGTCAAGGTTAAAGGATAGGTGTCCATAACGGAACATTATAAAACTTTAGCTCAAATTCTTCAACAGACACATTGTATCTGTATTTTATGCAAATCACAGTTATTAATCAACAACTCTTGTGAAGGTTTAAAGATAGGTGTCTAAAATAATTGATTTACTGGTCTCTATTGGAGTATGTATGACCGCTTAAATTCATGAATGCAAATAGTTGTGTTTCTTGTCTGTTTATTATCATATTAGAATCGTAACAAAGACCTCGATTTTATGATTTATGTCAAATATCAATGACCTCAAATTTTATTCTGGCCATTGCCATAGACATCATTCGTTACGCGATTTTGGTCTTTTAACAATGAACAGAATAAAATTTTCGGTCTATATCACGCCACAAATCATAAAATCTCGGTCTTTATTTCTTAGATATTATCAGACTCTCGCTTAAATAAAACAGTGATGCATTTAGGCAAATCACAATCAATTCCGTGAAAGTAACATGTATTTTTCAGTGAAATTTTCATTTCTCTCTCCGATGGCAAAGCTGGCATGTGAATCAACGTTATCGTAACTTCTATTTCTATTTTCTAGGTCCGATGAGCTAGTTCCAAAAAGCTAAATTTGCTCATCAGTGAATGGTCACTTTTGATATTGAGTGTTATTCCTATGTATTTCCAGGTTACTTCTCCCTTGGTACCTACACGTGTGTGTTCTGGGTAACAATGGATGTCTTGATGTGCACTTCTTCGATTTGGCATATGTGCACAATGAGCATGGATAGATTCTTCACGCTTAAGTACCCAATGAAATATGGTCGAAACAAGACTAAAACAATGGTCGCCTTGAAGATAATGTTCGTCTGGGTAGTCAGTGCCGCCATCTGTAGCCCATTATGTGTACTAGGCTTAATTGACACTACAAATGTGCTAAATGAAGGATTATGCGTTCCTGCAATTCCAGAGTTTGTCATTTATGGCTCTATGTTTGCATTCTACATTCCTTTAATCATAATGATTGTGACGTATGCATTGACGTTAAGGATATTACGTCAAAATAGACAGCTAATGAAAGGTATGGAAGAGGCCGTAATGAAAACGAAAAGGAAAAAAACGCCGTAAGGCAATACACAGTGCTGTTAGTGCAATACGATATAATTACTCCGGTAATGAACTCAAAACTATGGATACTGAGCTTCCAAAGGAGGAAGAAAACAATGTTAATGTGATTGAAACGGTATTTGATTCCCAGCATGAACAATCCAGTGATACTGTATGTAATGGATATACACGACATGTACCTAGTGCTAATGTACAACCCCCTGAGATTGAGATCTCAGAAGATGTAGAAAACTCTAATGATCCTAATTCTGGCGACGCAGATGCACAAACTGAACATGTGGCGCCACCTAAAGTGAAACGTTTATCTGCCTCGTGTAACGATTTGCCAAGTTTTCACGTGACTAGTTGCTCACCAAAGCACAGTCAAAATAAAACTATGCAACAACAGGAATTTTTAAAAATAGGAGATCAGCGACAATTTGGTGGGAGTATGATAAGCCCGGGATTATCAAATTTTTATTTTTCTACAGCATCTTTGAATAGTATGTTGAGCCTATATCAAAGTCAAAGTTTATTAGTAGAAGATCCAGAGATGCTGGAGCGATATAGTCAGATTGATCTTGAAATGGATGAGTGTCTAAATCTTGACCAAGATTCCGCAGGTCCAAACAGTTCAAAACAAGAAGATGAGAGCTCTCATGAAAAGGAGGGAAATTGTGAAACTACTAAGAACTCATCAACTAATCGTCAAGAATTTAGAGCAAAATCAAGCAGTGATATACGATTTTCCTTAAGCTCTAGTCATCAAGATATCTCTTTGACTATAAACAATCATCTTGATATCCACTATCCCCAAAACCAATGCAGGAGTTGCGAAAATATGACATTTTCTGACAATCCTACAAAACCAGAAACAAATAAATCTACAGAAAACGCGACTCTTAATTGTGCGACGTCAAGTTTGAGCTGTCAGTCGGGAATAGATGGCAGTAACGTTTGTTTTAATATAACAAGTAAGATGAGTGATGCGCCATTTGAAACGGATGAGTCTAAAGCTGATAATACATATGAAAATGTTGTTGCGTCATCCTCAAGTTTGGATTTACATAAAGATCCATCTTTGTCTGGATCAAGCGTCATATCATCTGATGACCAAGCCTCGTGGGGAAAGGGAGAAGATGCATCAGATATCCAATCTGAATTAATTATCGCAACAACACCAATAAAGCAGAGAGCCTCAGTTGGTAAAATTTTTGACAGGTTAACAGGGTCACACAGCCATCAACATATATCCGCGTCACAAAGTCTCCTTAGCAACCATAAAACAACCAATCACCATAACAACAAGAAAACTGATTGTTGTCAGTCTAAAAAACTAGATATTCCCAAATCGCCTTTGATAAAAAGGACGCACCATTCAATAAAACAATTAAAATCATCAATACTCAAAGCGGCGTCTCCACGGAGCAATGGGTGCCAAAATGGGAAGGTTTCTCAGACTAGTTCTAAAAGTACCCTTGCAAATGGAGACGGATGTAACAGAAAGGTGCTTACATTTGACAACGAAAGTATAAAGCATAACTCAGTGACTAAGCTACGTCAGAAAAGTAGCAACGAACTCAAAGCTTTATTAGTTAAGAACAAGAATACTGGTGGGAATCCGATGAAAAGATTAACAATTTCAAAAAGGACAGCCTCAAATGAGGCAAAAGCATCAAAAGTATTAGGAATAATATTTGGAGTTTTTGTTATCTTATGGACGCCATTTTTTGTGATGAATGTTGTTTCTGTGACCTGTATGGAATGCATGGCCCAATTGACCCCAGAACTTGCCTCTTTTATCACATGGTTCGGATACCTCGCATCACTGGCCAATCCTATAATATACACCATGTTTAACACTGCATTCAGGCGGGCATTTGTGAACATTCTCACGTGTAAGTACCGTAAAGGATACAACATGGCTGACAGTGTTTATATGAGTACAACAACCAACTGGATGACTGACAAGAGAAACACAACAAATACCATGACTAATACATTGACTATAACACATCATAGAGACAGTAGGTCACAATAGAAAACGTCATTACCCTGTAGTCGAATTAATTAATAGGCTATCATTGCTCATATACGAACAATATGTTGAATAATTCAAGATCAGTACTTCCTTAAAATTAAATGTTTTTGTTCGTCTTAGTGTGCACATCTCGTGAAACTTTTTAAATGAGTGATAAAAATTGAATATTAAAATAAAACAATTGAATTGATATTGAAAATGTTCTAACTGTGCGATGCGCATGACGGAAATCACTCATACAAGTAGTTTTATATAAAGATGTCAGGTCAGTATAGGTACGTGTGTACATGTAAGTATTGATAAGTAAGCATCGTTCAGAATAAAAACGAATTTACATAATATAAATGATAATTTAAAAAGTAGACAAAACGTAATATAAGAAGGAAAGATGGCCAAGTAATGATGACAGTTAAGGGAATATGTTTACTATTATGAGTACAATGCCTTTTTCTCTTTTTACCAATGTAGGAGTTTATGAAGTACACTATCTAGTATTATAATCTAACTGTACTATCTCGTATAATGCCGTATGTGCAATGAAAATAAAAATAATCACCCCTCCATAAGTTTTAGCAATTGGAATACCCCATATCGTACCATCGGATAGTATCATTTAACTGCCAGTTTTGTTTATATTTGTATGAATAACATTTTTAGGTCATTTTCAAAATTAAATCACTAAACATTAAGTTGAACAGGCTTAATGATATATAGCGTGATACAGGGTGTTGACGATGCCATTCTGGTGACGAGGAACGTAAACTATATGGTAGAAGAATATTATGACAAATTGAGAGTCAAATATTTCTGTGTTGTTAATTCGTCCATTTTGTTTTTATCAGTCATGATACTATTTATTGTATCCGTCACAAAGTATGTAAAATATTTATTTAATGAATAAAAATAAATACTCATAATTTGTTAAATCACTGTTTCGTAGTCATTTAATTATACTCCTCCCATGTTCATCTGATGAGAAGAATGGGTCAATGAAAATAGAGAATAATGCTAGAATGCGTGCGCAATTACACATATGCGAGTAGGTAGTTACCAATTTCGCCACCAAGTGGCTAATTCGGGGGAAATGACGGCAGGGCATTACACAGTTCCTTTTAACTTGAATTATCATCAGGTTTATTGGATCACTTTTCATATTACCCTTATGTATCTAATAGTTATACAAATTAAATATGTACATATCCAGTGAAAGAAAATATTAACTGCCCAACACAAGAAAAGATATTACATTTTTTGTGATTCTACAACATGGGGTCTATCGGAGGAATCTCCCCGACCTAGAAGTCACATTTTCAAAGAAAATTGATATTTTTCAAAGTTGATAAACTCTTTTCAAAACCACATTTCTAGATGTAAGTTTGCATGTAGATCCAAATATGACATCAGTTTGACTGAATTTTGAATTTTTAATGACGTAAATCAAGATTATTTCTACTCGCGTCTAGTCTATTAAACCAAACTATGGAACTACATCTCTTGGAAATACTTTCCTGGGTGCGATAGGGACAAATTGACTCATTCAGAGAAATCGGAATTATTCCAGGGCACTTTAATTTGTGAATGGGTCAATTAAAGGTTTCATTATTGACTAATTACTCTGGTTCTCACTGAGTATTAATGAGGCGACAAGGATATCATTCAGTATTAATAATGAGGCTACAAGGATATCATTCAGTATTAATGAGGCTACAACGATATCATTCAGTATTAATGAGGCTACAATGATATCATTCAGTATTAATAATGAGGCTACAAGGATATCATTCAGTACTAATGAGGCTACAAGGATATCATTCAGTATTAATGAGGCTACAAGGATATCATTCAGTATTAATGAGACTACAAGGATATCATTCAGTATTAATGAGACTACAGGGATATCATTCAGTATTAATGAGACTACAATGATATCATTCAGTATTAATGAGGCTACAAGGATATCATTCAGTATTAATATTAATGAGGCTACAAGGATATCATTCAGTATTAATGAGGCTACAAGGATATCATTCAGTATTAATGAGACTACAAGGATATCATTCAGTATTAATGAGGCTACAAGGATATCATTCAGTATTAATGAGGCTACAATGATATCATTCAGTATTAATGAGGCTACAAGGATATCATTCAGTATTAATATTAATTAGGCTACAATGATATCATTCAGTTTTAATATTAATGAGGCTACAAAGATATCATTCAGTATTAATGAGGCTACAAGGATATCATTCAGTATTAATGAGACTACAATGATATCATTCAGTATTAATGAGGCTACAATGATATCATTCGGTATTAATATTAATGAGGCTACAAGGATATCATTCAGTCTTAATGAGGCTACAAGGATATCATTCAGTATTAATATTAATGAGGCTACAAGGATATCACTCAGTATTAATGAGGCTACAAGGATATCATTCAGTATTAATATTAATGAGGCTACAAGGATATCATTCAGTATTAATATTAATGAGGCTACAAGGATATCATTCAGTATTAATGAGGCTACAAGGATACCATTCATTATTAATGAGGCTACAAGGATATCATTCATTATTAATGAGGCTACAAGGATATCATTCAGTATTAATATTAATGAGGCTACAAGGATATCATTCAGTATTAATGGGGCTACAAGAATATCATTCAGTATTAATGAGGCTACAAGGATATCATTCAGTATTAATGAGGCTACAAGGATATCATTCAGTATTAATGAGGCTACAAGGATATCATTCAGTATTAATATTAATGAGGCTACAAGGATATCATTCAGTATTAATGGGGCTACAAGAATATCATTCAGTATTAATGAGGCTACAAGGATATAATTCAGTATTAATGAGGCTACAAGGATACCATTCAGTTTTAATGAGGCTACAAGGATATCATTCAGTGGCATGTTTCAAATCGTTGAAACTGATATACACCCCCTTCAAATATTTGGTAACCCTAATTCCCCATTTAATAGTCCAGTTAAAGTCTGTTTGTTTAATTTTTGCTCTTAATTGAGGTTAGATTTTTTTTGTTTTTTTTGTATTTTGTTTACCACCAATGAAGGTGAGCAATACCTCTTGGGTATGTCCCGTATATAAACGGTCGTAATTTACGTAATTAACATGGAAGATAGACCCAGAAACCCCTCCTTGAAGGAGCCCTGTATTATTTTATGTGCACTTATACATAGACATACAAGTACAAGTACACACCACAGCCTTTTGTGTACAAGTTGCGGACCACTCAGTCAAACACCCTGAAGTACATGTTCTTCACGCAAACAAGCAAATTTAGTCTTGCCTGAACCGGGGATCGAATCCGGGACCTACAAACATATAGTCAGTACAAGATCATTAATACAGAGAACTTTAAACTTAAAGGGGTCACAATTCAAAGACTTGAGACAAGTCGAGACTGTTACAATTATTTTACTGTAACTCCTACTTTGACGATTTAAATATTATTTTGCAGTCATTTTGTCACTTTATAATGCCAAGTTAAAAAATGGTACATTTAGAGTATGATACACTCTGGCGCTGTTTTCAATAACTTTTACTCCAAGCGCCATTGGCTTTTAAACAGAAGTGGGGGTTACCGCAAATAATATACCAATTCCACGGAGTGGGTAATTATTTTCCGTAAAACGAAATATATGAATTAAAAATATTTTGTGAAGTTTTCATAGTATTTTGATGTTTTGTGGACATATCTTCCGATTACTACCCATGATGTAGGAACGACATTTTATCGCGTGTTTATTCAACCAATGGCAGAATCGCTAATGTCGTCGGGCGTAAAAAGTCATGTGATCACTGATCACGGTTAGTTCACCGACGGTTTGATAGCTATTTCAACTTCAAAATGCCGAGTTCAATTAATATGCAGATTACCTTGAGTTGAAGGACTAGCCACCAGCCGATGGTCGAATTCGCGAATGCTGGCTTAGCTAATCTTAATGAAGTTGCTTGGTCCTTCAAAATATCATTAATTTTTTAATTTAGTGACTTGCAAAATCTCAAAAGAATGGCCAACAGCAGTCAGTAGTATTCACAATAATTAGTTCAGTTTGGGAAAATACAATCCCCGTTGAACAAAACAATTAATACGATAAGCTGTCTCCTGGGATTTTCCTGTCACAAATCCCCCTTTTAAAATCTCAATGGGCAATTTTGATCGACGACGGGGTTCTTCGAGTTTACATTTACATTTGTGCTCTCGACGTGTCATCCTTAATACAACTTTACCATTCATGAAAACGATCATTATTTGAGCATTAAAAGCTTAGAGGTTAGAGGTAGAGGTAAAATCAAAGTTATTCTAACATGAATTTACCTTATGGATTGTTGATCAATGATCGATTAAATAGTGCAATTATTGGACATGATCGACATGCCAAAAGTGCTCAGAATGGTAAAAACTGCATGATTTGAAGTAATTTCTGACCAGGGTTGGGGAAGCCGCTCTCCCAGCTGGCTACGGGCCTATCACGGGTAGCAGGTTGTAGCTTTCAAATTTTTAGTTTACTTCATTTTAGTTACCTCACGTTTGAAGAGCTCTCGTGAGAGGTACAACTTCGTCTACATCCGGGTTCTGTCCCATTGGATTATACAGGAGTGCGGTTTTCAATGCCGCACTACGGCTTTAATAAACATTTATGTAGTGTTGCATTTGCACAAATGATATTAAGATATACAACAAGGCTTTTTGAACTATAATCCCCAAATCCGAAGAAATCTTTAGTTTGAAATGCCGTCCAATTCCAGAGACGTCACTGATTTCCCACAAATTGCTCAGACGCCATCGAAGATCGAAAAATATAAATAATATTAAACAGGCAATGCGCCTATTTTTGAAGGAAAAAGGACAAAATATTATTTGAGACATGTCACTCACACAGTCATAGTCCATGGTATGACTTCCGAATATAAAGGATCCGTAGCACACTATAGCGCAGCAACATTTGAAACAATATTTATGAAGGTGTATATGTCTTGATTCTTTTAAAATGCCGTTTGCTGAAAAAACTTCCGGCTTTCGGGTCGAAAAATGTCTTTCAGCACAAGGGGTCATAAAACGTAAATATTTTGATTCGAACTTTTATACATTCTATAAGACACAGATCGTTATTCTAAGCATACGAACAAAAAAAGATTATCATAATGTAAAAATATACTATAATTTTACTGTAGATGTCGGTGTTTAATTAGTGTAATTACGCAAGTGTGTTTTTCAGATTTTGTTTGATTTTTTAAATATGAGCCAAGCCGATTATCCTTTTAATACTGAGTCCCCAGCATTCATAAAAAATGGTGTTCAAGGTGCACTATCTATACAAATTATTTTTGCATCTTGGAAGCAAGGCAGTATCTGTGTGATTTTATAAAAATTCGGAAATTTTTTCAGATATGAGCCCCCTCTAAATATTGGGTGCGGAGCAGCTCCATAAACGTAGCTCCGCACCCAATATTTAGAGGGGCTCATATCTGAAGAACATTTCCGAATTTTTATAAAATCACACAGATACTGCCTGGCTTCCAAGATGCAAAAAAAATTTGCATGGGTAGTGTATCTTGAACACCATTTTTTATGAATGCTGGGGACGCAGTATTAAAAGGATAGTCTCAAAATATATAGGTCTGGGAAATGTTTAAGGCATACTGCGTCGCTATAAAATGAATTGCACTACTATTTTCACAATTTAATTGATATTTAGTGTCAAATACACATATCTTGGTATATTTGAAGTCCCAAAACGGCTTAGTTTCAGAAATATCCCAATTTTAAATTCAAAAATGACCGTTAGCTCCGCACCCTCCGCTCATTTGCGCCGCACCCAATATTTCCCACAGGCTCTGTCTGCATAGGGTGGTGTATTAAACATCAAAATTGAGAAAGTTATTTCAAGACAAGAGAGTTTTTTGGGACACCCTGTACATAACATTCAATTTGTTAGCATCAGTGATGAAAAACTAAATCACCGGTTGGGCTGAAATCAAATATATGGAGTAATAAAATAACTGGTTTATCAACATTACTCATTGCAATCTAATGCTACGTGCTTAATTATTTATCTACCGACCATTTAAATAATTTATTTCCTGGAATCAAGGTTAAAGATGAAGGTCTCTGTTGGAATTTTGTCATCTCTTAAGTAAAACTACAGGTTTTTCAATAAGTTAGAGGAAAAAGTCTCAACTCTGATACTTTACAAGCAGTTTTCATTTTTTCAGGCTTAATACTCTCCCTATTTTTTCAATGAAACTGATTTTAACTTTTTTAGTTTTAATGCTTTCTTTGAATTAATTTGCAAAATTAACAGAAAGCATGAAGAGTAGTTTGTTGTTTAAAACCACAAATGCATTTTGAACTTTCAACGCTTTGAAATTATATCGGAAAATATGACCAGTAAAAATATAATCACATCTTTCTATTCAATAACATTTCTTCTTTTCTTGTAAGATCAAGAATTGTGGTTGAACTGATTTTAACTTAAACTAAATTTCAAAAGTGATATATGCTGAACTTGTAAGATATAACTCTTCCCTGTTAATTGGAAATACTCAAATGAAAAAGATAAGTACATAGACTAATTTATAGCTTTTTGGACAAGCCTCGTATGGTGTTTCACTCTCATGATAGCGCCACTCTTTAATTAAAACTATAATTTGCAATTTCCTCACGACACCCACTCAGGCTATAACATTAATGTATAATTCTTGGAAAATCCCATTTGTTTGGAATTGCCTAATGCGATGATATTCATTTTTGCTCTTGACATTTCGTGCGTTATAAAAAAAAGTGATTAGAACACATTAGACGAACACCTTTCTAAATAAATTACACCACTACGATGTCATCTCCATAAAATTTTCAATTTAAGTTAAGAGTGCGTACTCTTATCTGTCTAGTATCTAGCCCTTTGAAACTAATGTGCTCTGAACGAAACAAGTGCCGTGTGGTATTTGTCTGTCATCGGGCTCAAAATAAAAAATGACATATTATCGATTATTATCAGGATACATCATTTTGCGTAATTGGGTAGATTTCAGATCAACAGGATATAAACGGGTTATTAGCGATGATATCATTACTTTGAAAGACTTAATTTATAGGCGATAATATACCCAAAGTGTCTATTTTATGGAGTTGATGCATGCAATGTTAAGATTTAGATCATCGGTAATGTGTAAACAAATATTACATACGAGACGATGAGGAGTAATACGCCATCTATTTTAACATACCCTGAAATCTACAAACAAACTAATTTACTGATCTTCTTTACGGCAAATAAGATCATGAAACATCTTTCCCTGTACAGGGGCATTTTCACCTTTTTTATGCTGAATCAGTTTTGCTCTCTTTACTTATTTATTTTGTGATGATTTTAATATTTCCCCTAAACACCATACCCTATAAGTCTCTCTAGAATGGTCGTTAGTTTATAAAATATCAATCTGTTATCATTTGAGGCGTAACTACGCATGACATTTTTGCTTTGAATATTGACTTTATATATGTTTATTATGTTTTCATTAGGACTAATATTTATTCGCAATGATATTTCAGGGACAATGAAATAACATTTTTTTATTTTTTTTTTATTTCTCTATTCAAACAGTACAAGTACAATAATTAGAACAGTTCAGATATTTTTCACACCACCTCCATTCATTCAGACATTTGCAACAGTCATACTTTTAAGTTCAGGTACATAATAAAACATATTTTTTTCAAATTGCGCCTCATACAAATTGGGATTCACTTCGTCGAACTCTTTAATAAAAATAAAACTTAATTGCAAGGGTAAGTCTATTTGGTAAGATATTTTTCTTATTAGCTTGCCTTCCAAAAACCATGTCATGGGCGTTAAAATCGAAATCAACTTTAAATAAACGCTTTAAATTCCCTTTGATTGCTTCCAGAAATATTTGAATTCTTCAATACAATGAAATAACATTGGATTCCAAAAAGGTGGCCATGATCGGATTATACGGAATTATCGGAATAGCCTGTCTTTAGATTTCTGTTCAACTGGTCAGGGTTATATATTCAAACTATCAGTGTGATAGGGGATGGTGTCTGGTGAGCAACTAAATAAATAAAGTTTGGGGGGAGGATAAGCACATGTTTTAGTTTCCTGTTCGACATTTTTCAACATTTCAATATTATAAATGCGTTGCAACCTACCCCATTCAAATACCTACAGTATAACATAAAACGGATCATGAATTTTATAACTGATACAAAATACGATGGAAACTGCTAGTTAAGGCATAACAAATGTCAGTTTGACATTTTTACTTTGCCTTTATGTTTTCCGGCATTGGGACTAATATTTATTCCCAATCATAGATCAGAACATATGTGAGGGCAATATAGTGAAATATTTCATTATATTGCCCTTCGAAATGACGTTATTGTACTATTATCGAAACAACCTTACCAATCCAACCAGTCTTTGGATTTCTGTTCAACTGGCCAGGTGGTTTCACCCACTAATAGCACATACTGGCATGTGGAAACAGTGTATTTGAGGTTTTAGAAAAACGTACATTATATGGGCCATTATATGCTCTAGAGCAGCACATGATTACAAAACACCTAAAACTCTAAATATTTCCAATCGGCCTGTAATATATTAAAGTTCGCAAATATTATTACAAAATGATCGATTTTAAACAATACTTGAAATATATCTTTGTCGCAAGATTGCAAATGGCTTTTGTGAAAATTTTCTTCATACAAAGTTTTGATAAGAAACATCCAATAACTCAGATGCTAGTAGGTAGTTACTAGTTTCACCACCAGGTGACTCTTCGGATCAGATAGCATGGCGGGCATAGTAAAAAGTTCCATAAACTTGAATATTCAACTGTTTTAGTGGTTCAATTTTCATTTCACCCTTGTGTATCTAATAGTTGCAAATTAAATATGTCCAGTAAAATAAATTTTTATCTGTCCAATACAAGAAAAGAAATTTCCCTTTTTGTGATTTTATAACATGGGGAATCTCCCCGAACTAGAAGTCACATTTTCAAAAAATAATTTTAAAAGTTGATAAACAATTTTCGAAACCATATTTCTCGGTGAACTTTTACATGCTGATTTAAAAAATGACATCACTTTATCTGAATTTTGTATATATTAATGAGGTTAATCAAGATTGTTTCTATACTCGCATCTAGTCTATTGAAAATGATTTGCCTGACTAGTGCTTTGAAAACTTGAAATAGACAAATCGTTCTGAATGTAAATGGATGCAAGTAAATGTGACATATTCTAACCAGTATTCAAACAATTGAACAAAACAGACCATTTATTGCATTGAGTAAATTGCAAGTAAATTTTAGATGTGACAAATACAATTTTGGAATTTCAAAAGTGACTATTAAAGCGACCTCAATACCCCCTCTTGGGACCCCTCTTAGTGGTTTTATATTCAAGTCATGTATAAGGAGTTATATCGACTGCACTTCGCGCACAGTATAGTTTTTGTATGATAATATCATTTAACTGGAAAAACTTTTGAGAAAAAACGTAACGTTATATACCATAGAGCAGTACATGGTTCTAAAACATCTAAAAGTCTAAATATTTCGAAATGGTCTGTAACGTATTAAAGGTCGCTTACAAAATGATTGATTTAAAGCAATGTTTCATAAAATGTGTCTTAGTCGCAGGAATACTAATGGCTATTGTGAAAATTATCGTCATTCAAAGTTCAGTTGAGAAACATCCAAGATTTAAGCAAATAAAAAGTATCAATTACTCGAGTTACAGAACACAACAAGAGCAGAGAGATATCTCAAGACACAAAATATGGGATTCCTTACGATGCGCAAGTATTGCCAAAATGCAAAAGAAGCCTACATTGAAACCGCGGGAGGCAGACTCGAATGTTCCACCTGAGCTTTATCATTTGAACTGGACTAATAGTTTTCTTGATGCTTACAAAGTTGTCAAATGGCCGAAATGGGATATTTGCAAAGTGCGAGAGGAGGAGAATCTTCTATTGCTGTTTGTCATCAGTCACAAAGCCGGTATGTCTAAGCTTGTAGTCGCTAATGCAACTTTCGGCGGTCGGCTACCGGATTACCCTATTATTTTATAGGCGATTCATTTAAATATTATGAATAGTACCTGCCAGTATTCCATTCATATCATAGCCGTAGGGACCAGGGGTTCGATGGGTTCGAACGAACCCCCGGTCAGGGTTTCCCAAAAAATATTTGCTGAAAATTCATTGTAATAACCAGAAACATTCATTCAATTTATATGACCATAATAAAGTTACACTTCTCTCCAAAAGTTTGGCAACCTTAGGCACGGGATAGGAATGTCTAATTTTGGGAAGACCCCGGATCATCATTACATTATGCAAAGAAATATCAATAATCTCGCATAATTTATTTTCTAACTTAAAAGCTACTTCACCTCCAGTGAAACAAACCAACTGTCTTAATACTGATGAAACACATTTTCTTTCAAATCAAATTATTAAGTAATTTTGAAACATTTTGAAATAAGTTATTATATAAAGCATACATGTATGTATCATTTATAAACGCAAGCATTTGATCGAATAGGTGTAGTATTTATTATCCATCACTTCGATTTCTTATATTTTTGAGAATAAAATTGTCCAAAAATGTAAAAATGCTATTTTCTGAAATTGAGATTTCTGTCTTTGCCATTATTTCTGGATTAGTCTTGCACACGTTTTAAATCGTGTGACCAAAAAAGGATTTGACAGCATTCTCTAATAAAATAAAAAACCTCTTTTCTCAAAACAAAGTCTATAATGATTCACAAATTCTTCTAAAATGTTTTCATTTCTCAAAACAATTCTCGTCATTATTAATAATAATAAAACGGCGAACATTGATTATAGGGAATGGAATGTTTTCAAAGTTATCAAAGAGAGAATCAGATCTAGCGAGCAGCATAACAAAACATTGTTTCAATCTTAGAATATTTCTGGCTTATGTCATTCCTTTTCATGTCTATTTTCTGAAAATCCCTATAGTTTCAGGAAAACTAAATAATGTATTATTTTCTATAAGAATGGTTACCATTCTTATTACTTGGGAGAATTTAAAAAAATCACCAATTTTTGCACTTTGGATACATTATAACTTCACTAATTTAAAAGATATCGTGAATCATTTGGGAGATATTAATGTACATTAGATCATAAGGAATAGATTGGTAGGTGAATTGTTCATGTTACTTCGAAATTTGTCACCCCCATAGATCTGATGCTGCCTTTAAGTGCAGATTATTTTTATTTTCAATTCAAAGAAAGATCAAATAGGTATTTTGAGCACTATGTAATCTTTGTTGCAAGGCATTGCAATTTAAAAAAGGTTTACTTTTAGAGTCTACGGAGCAAAATGGATATCTTGAATACCAACTGAGAGTATTCGTGTAGTAAAAAAGACGTTTATATGTGCGCCATGATTAAATAAATATTACTCTTCGAAAAGATTTGCTATTAAACACCCACTATTCAGTAACTAACTATAGGTGAATGAGGTAATTATGAACACTCCTCTATTATAAAATGAAATACCAAATAAATAAAATTCTTTTGATTTGGAATCTTTTCAAATCATCATCTTACCTCAGTTTTGAAGTGTGGGAATCGCATGTTTCAGAATTAAACATATTGAACTTCTATTTATTTATTTTTATTTATATAGTATTTAAATCTGTGGCTCGGTCAACCTGACATTATGTGCCATTTTTTACAGAAGTACATATGAATTGACGTACATAGGTGTTACATAGTTGAAAGCATACAACAAAGTGAGGCTCGCACGACTAGTAGAATGTTTGTGGTGCTCCAAGGGTGTAATGGCTTAGCGGTGACAAAATGATGTGTCTAAATTTTCAGCAAATGATTTAATATTGAACTCTGAAGTCTCAATGAATTAGGAATGCGGATTTCTTCCTCAAATATCTCGTTTTAAAAAAATACGTTCCTTAAAGATATGTTGGGATTTGCCCTTAAATTTGGATTTCATTCTACAAATTTTCAGATTTCATGGTATCTATTCAGTATAAGATTCACCGAAAACCATTTTAATATAGAAAATCAAATTGTCTAACTTTTTCAAATTCAATTGTATTTTGCGAAAACAAAATACAGGTATCGGAAATGATGTCAATTTATTTTTCCCAGCCCTTTTAGATTACCTTTTTAATTACCAGAATACAAGAGAGCCCCTTGTGACTCTTGGTTCAAAAGCTCACCTATTTTCGAAATGGCCGCCTTGTTGTCGAGGAAAATTCACCTTTTATGAATTTATTGTAGTGACTTTATGAGTAATTTTAAATGGCCTACATTGCAATAACTCACGTCACTGCTATAACAGTAGTTTTATGAGATCATTTTGTAAAAAATCGGCAAAAATTGTATCTGCGTTTTTATTGTCGGCCAAATTAGGATTTTGGATTCTAAAACCTCGCTTAAGAAGTCTTCTCTACAGATTTTAAGCCAAACCTCTGTTGATATTATTTTAGTTTTAGGTTACCCTTGACATATTGTATTGGTATTGTTTAATAGTATCCATCAATCCATCCATCCATCCAAACACCAACCCATCAACCCATCCACCCATCCACCCATCCACCCATCCATCCATGATACAATGAAAAGTAGAATTTTCCGCTTTTTTATTGTTACAAAATTTATGGCGTCGTTCTGAATATGGTTCAGGGTTCACTACTACATCATATTTACATTTTGAGGAGGGAAGAAGAAAGCATTTAGACCTGACGTAGTTTAAAGAATAGTATTTACTGTTACATGAAGTAAGAACATCAACTTAGCAAATATTTCTCAAGTTTATACAATGGCATTGTTGCCACTATTCATGACTTTCTTTTTGGCAAGAGAACATGCATAAATATTTTCCTCTGTTTATTCATAGTAGGCTTGTAAAAAGTTTTTAAAAAACTAGACGTCTGTGTTGATTTTGTTGTCTCGTTCGTCAAAACAAGTATCCTGGTTTCTAAAAATCCATTCGTCATTTTGTTGACGTACTTTAATTAAATGAAGCCTGCACGATCATTAGACTCCAGATTTTTATCTCCGTCAAATTCAATGTTTTTCCTTATTTTTCCGATTCTGACACTACACTTTAATCATATTCTTCGAAATTGGTAGGATACATATAGTTAAGAGTGTGCTAATAGTGTTAGCCTTTTGACGTCAGAAAGTATTTTGACCCACTTTTGAAATATGGTGTCGGAAAAGTAGGTCAAAATAATAAGTTCTCCTTTAACGTATGAGTTATGAATGAATGAGAAAACTTTCTCAGAAATCCGAATCTACAAACCAAAGGACAGGTGGCGGTAAACCCCTCTTTTAGCCCCCCTACAAAACAAGTATATATTGACATGTAATTGAAGAGGAAGTATGACTTATTACTTAAAATGTGATTTCTGAGAATTTTGACATTTGACCTTGACATTAGGGTGGTTTAAAGGTCAACTTTGAGAGATGCTATTTTTGTCAAAATTTTGCCATTTTCTAATACAAGAAATGAAAGCAATTGGCTTAATTTTGATTGTGACTGATAATAAGACATGTGAATGGAAATAAAAATATTCTTAATAAATTCTCACGGGCAATTAAAAGAAAATCTTGAGAATAAATCCCCATATGGGCATTTTTAGGGGGACTAAATTTTCCTGTTTCAAAAATGAATGTTCTTGTTGCCTTTTCAGACTCCAACAGTATATTAAGCATGTTTTAAGAATTGGGATTTGATTATTGTTTTAATGCCCATGGGCAATTAGGATAAAATGACTGCAATTAAATGCACACAAGGGCACTTCCATGAGAATGGATTTTCTTATTTCAATTGCATCTCACCAGTTTTCTAAACATGTTTGCCATATTCTAAATAGTTATAGGGTCACTTTTAATAAAAAAACAAAATGTTCCCATGTACGCTGTACTTGTAATGCATATAAATGACAAAGGGAATTGTGATCTTGGATTATATTGTAGTGAAATGAGTTCCAAGATTGATTAAAAACTATGTGTATATAGGCTTCAGTATTGTCTTCATTAACAAGGTCATCTGAATCAAGAGGTGTGTTACTTGCCTTCCCACAGTGTGTTATTGTATTTTCACTATTAAATAATATATAAAACCCTTTAAATAAATAAAGGTTTTGTAGTTTTTAATATAAGGCCCTTCATCAGAATGCCAACATATAATTAATTTTGAATGGCCTAATCTGTACATGCAGTTATGTACATTGTAGTGTACATTTATGCCCAGGTTAGCAGTCATATTGAAAACATAAACCAGTCAGCCTTATTTTCATCACAAAATTTAAGTTTTAGTGGTGAGCCCACACTCCCACAACAATGGTATTTGCAGGGAAGCTACCTCACAGTCTCTGCATTATACAGTTTCAATATCTTTTTTGTGGGAGTTTGGGCTGAAATGAATGAAAGGGAATGAGCACGATGCTAAAACTTGATGACAAAGTGAACAAAAATGACAATGTTTTCCAGATTTGCATTAGTAAACTTCATATATAGCTGGATTTTGTTAATGTTCTACTCCGAATGCTTGTATGCTATATGTTCCATATAATAAATTCTATATAATGATAAGTTTTGATATTATTTTGAGGGTAAACATAGTGTGTACCCATATTCAGTCTTGTGATAGGGGTTCTTACTGCCATTTTTTTCAAAAAATCTGAAAACTAATGCCACTTTTTTAAATTGCACATTTCAAGAAAAAAGGTTTATCTACAATTTGCAATCGGTTTTAAAAGTAAATGGAAGAATGAGTTTTTTGGAAAAAGTCTAAGTGGATCAATAGTCTGTTAAATGGACCTGTTCTTTCGATCCGTCTTCAGGTTCAGAAGTTATGGCGTTTTGAAAACTCAAAAAATCAAAAATTTTGAAGTGTAAAATACGAGATATAGACTGAGTATAGCTTAATATAATGAAAGCCTTTAAAAGAAGGGGACCTCAAAAGCCACCTAGCTTTAAAATTAGGACACCAAA